CCCGCCCACAACACCTGAGCCCCGCCCACAACACCTGAGCCCCGCCCTGTGGTGTCTGTAGGTGTGACAGGTGAGATACAGGTGTGACAGGTGTGACAGGTGTGACACAGGTGTGACAGGTAAGATACAGGTGTGACACACCTGCGCAGGTGACCCCAGGACACCTGAGCCCCGCCCACAACACCTGAGCCCCGCCCTGGCAGCCCTGAGTGTGACACACCTGCACAGGTAACCCCAGCACACCTGACCCCGCCCACAACACCTGAGCCCCGCCCACAACACCTGAGCCCCGCCCTGTGGTGTCTGTGGTGAGACAGGTGAGATAGAGGTGTGACAGGTGAGATACAGGTGTGACACACCTGCACAGGTAACCCCAGCACACCTGAGCCCCGCCCACAACACCTGACCCCACCCCCATTGAACTGGGCCACCACGTCGCTGCCGAACAGGTAACCGGCACCACGGGGGGACACGCCCCAACCTGTCGTGTCTGGGGGACAGGGACAGGTGTGATACACCTGGGCAGGTGACCCCTGCACACCTGAGCCCCGCCCACAACACCTGAGCCCCGCCCACAGCACCTGAGCCCCGCCCACAACACCTGAGCCCCGCCCTGTGGTGTCTGTAGGTGTGACAGGTGAGATACAGCTGCACAGGTGACCCCAGCACACCTGAGCCCCGCCCACAACACCTGAGACCCGCCCCGTGGTGTCTGTAGGTGTGACAGGTGAGATACACCTGGACAGGTAACCCCAGCACACCTGAGCCCCGCCCACAACACCTGAGCCCCGCCCACAACACCTGAGCTCCACCCTGTGGTGTCTGTGGTGAGACAGGTGAGATACAGGTGTGACAGGTGTGACACAGGTGTGACAGGTAAGATACAGGTGTGACACACCTGGACAGGTGACCCCAGCACACCTGAGCCCCGCCCACAACACCTGAGCCCCGCCCTGGCAGCCCTGAGTGTGACACACCTGCACAGGTGACCCCAGCACACCTGAGCCCCGCCCACAACACCTGAGCCCCACCCACAACACCAGAGCCCCGCCCTGTGGTGTCTGTGGTGAGACAGGTGTGAGACACCTGGACAGGTAACCCCAGCACACCTGAGCCCCGCCCACAACACCTGAGCCCCGCCCTGGCAGCCCTGAGTGTGATACAGGTGAGATACAGGTGTGACAGGTGAGAGACAGGTGTGACACACCTGCACAGGTGACCCCAGCACACCTGAGCCCCGCCCACAACACCTGAACCCCGCCCACAACACCTGAGCCCCGCCCTGTGGTGTCTGTGGTGAGACAGGTGAGATACAGGTGTGACAGGTGAGAGACAGGTGTGACACACCTGCACAGGTAACCCCAGCACACCTGAGCCCCGCCCACAACACCTGACCCCACCCCCATTGAACTGGGCCACCACGTCGCTGCCGAACAGGTAACCGGCACCACGGGGGGACACGCCCCAACCTGTCGTGTCTGAACGGTGGGACAGGTGTGACAGGTGTGTCCCAGGTGTGTCCCAGGTGTGCCCAGGTGTGTCCAGGTGTGTCCCAGGTGTGTCCCCAGGTGTGTCCGGGTGTGTCCCAGGTGTGTCCAGGTGTGTCCCAGGTGTTTCCCAGGTGTGTCCCAGGTGCGTCCCAGGTGTGCCCAGGTGTACCCAGGTGCCCCCCAAGCCCCCCCAAATCCTCCCTCAGCTCCCTCCAAGTAGCTCCAGGTGCCCCCAAATCCCCACCAAAACCCCCCAAATCCCCCCAAACCCCCTCAAACCCACCCCCAGGTGTGCCCAGGTGCCCTCAGGTGTGCCCAGCTGTGCCCAGGTGCCCCCCAAGATCCCCCAAATCCCCCCTCAGCTCCCTCCAAGTATCTCCAGGTGCCCCCAAATCCCCCCAAACTCCCCCAAATCCCCTCCAGGTGTATCCCGACCCCCCCTAGGTGCCCCCAGGTGTGCCCAGGTGTGCCCAGGACCCCAAGACTCCCCTCAAGACCCCCCCAAATCCCCCCCAGTCCCCCCCAGGTGTATCCAGGTGTATCCCAACCCCCCCCAGGTGTGTCCCAGGTGTGCCCAGGTGCCCCCCAAGACCCCCCCAAATCCCCCCAAATCCCCCCAAATCTCCCCCAAATCTCCCCCAAATCCCCCCAAACCCCCTCAAACCCCCCCAGGTGTATCCCAACCCCCCCAGGTGTGTCCCAGGTGCCCCCAGGTGTGCCCAGGTGAGCGCCCCCTACCCTCGGGGTCGGACCAGAGCAGGTCGCACATGGGCCCGTCGTGCGGCACCTCCTGCTTGCGGTCGATGGTGCGGATCTGGTCCAGGGTCTGGATGGAGGGGGACAGACCCCCGTGCACGCAGAAGATCTGGGGGGGGACAGGTGGGACAGGTGAGGGCACCTGGGG